AATCTATCTGGAAAGAAAGAGAAGGTAGTAGTTAAACATGGTTGAGAAATTGATACAATATATTGTAATTATCTAAAGCTTGAAATATAATTCCGGACAAAGAAGTGATAAAGAGAAAATTCGAAACCACCTGGAAAGAAAGAGAAAGTAGCAGTTAAAAGTGTTTCCTAAAAAAAAAAGTTGGTAGAAAATCAAATAACATAATAAATAGTAACTGAAACTGAAAGTTTAATTTCGTGCGAAAATAACAAAGTTAAAAGAAAATGATTATCAAAGATCAACAATTATTGTTTATATATGTGTTACTTGTCAATTTGAATTGTCGTATTTTATAAGGTCTTGCATAATTTGATAATAATGAAATTTAATATATTTCATAATATAACGAAGTTTAATTTAATATCTTGTAACTGGTCTTAATTCTTTATCATACAGGTCTTATATAACAACCTTGAAAACTTATTCACCCATGTAAATAAGTTATTTTTGTAATATATATTCGAAAACTAAATTATTAGTCAGATTTTGGTAGGATATAGGTGATCTATATTTCTTGATGATATCTTGACAAAATATCGATATAACTTGTAGAAATATCAGATAGCCGATAGGTTGTCTGATATTTTGAAGTTTGACTTGTATAGTATATATTTTCTAATATAAGAAGCTTTATTATAAAATTTTATACTTAGTTATACATGTTGACAAAATTATTTTAGGTTTTAGGATACAAAATTAAAATTTGAAGATGAAATTGTTTTTGATCTATTTTACTTAAAAGATAAATTTTTTTTGACAATTTTTTTGAAAAGACGAAATTATAAGAAACATAACTACTTAAATTAGATTTGATATTATATATAAAAAATTCTAAATTGCTTTAATAGAGACAAAATAGGGTTTTTTTGAAAACCTATTTCATTAGCATGTATATACTTAGTATTTAAATAAAAATTTTAGCTTCAAAATAGCTAATTTGTCAAAAAAAATTTTTACTTAATATCTCAAAGATTTTTTTTATATAAACTAATTTGTAAAATTAATAATAATTTTTAATCTACTAATCTATTTTAGATAATTTAACTACCAAAATATTTAGCTCAATAAAATAATTCTAACAAGTCTAAAATCATTAAAATCTAATTACAAGATTCTAAAATAATTCACATTTTGTATAATTTTAAGGAAAATTCTATTTTCACCTAGGTTATTTCACCTATCACATAACAACAAGCTATTGTGGCTTGTAATTCAGTAGGAACCATTTTGCTGCTTAATTACATGATTGCTACTTAGATCAGTAGTATATATCACATAATTAGCATAATATAATAAATCTTGTTCAATTTAATATATTCAAGTTATTTAATATAATGTATAAAAATATATTAATATGTTTAAATATCATCTTGACTATCTAGTTTTCAAATTAACAATTAGTTTTCAGCTAAAAAATCAGTTTTATATACTAAAAACAGTAAGTAATTTCTATATACTTATCTAATTAAAACAATACAATTATTGATTATGATTAAAATTAGTATCTAACTTGTTATCAATATAATCCTGATTCAAATATTATCAAAAATACTAATAATCTAAAATTAATGGTTTAAATTATATAACACAATATAAGAATAGCTCTTAGTAGTTTAGCATATTAATTTGAGTAAAAACTAGTTTTTTATAGGCACGTACATCTTATTGATAATAATTATTAGAAGTAATTCATAATGATTATTAGAAGTAAATTGTTATTTTTGTATAATTGAAAGAATTATTATATTAGTATATAAAATCTAAATATCATCACATAAATTTAACAACCTTAATATAATAGTTTTTGATCCCAAAACACATACTTAAGGATTTACAAAATCAAAGTCTTTTTTTTTAAAAAAAAATAGCTATGCTTTAAGGCTTTATTTATACAGTAATTTATTTTCAAACTTCTAATTAAAAGGTTTACTAACTATAAACTAAAATCCAATTCAATATAATCTTAACTAGAATATTTAGTAACTCTAATAATTTTGATTTAATTAATTTGAGAGTCGTCTATATATATAGTTATTTATAAATATAATGTAAAAAAGCTAAGCTATTTGCAATATTTAAGAAAACAAAATATAAAAAACAGCTTAATCAGTATGTGCAAAGTATAAATTTTAAAAAGAAATTATTTGCCTGAACAACTTCTAGAATTATGATTAATGCTGTTACAAACACTATATATATATATTTTTTTTGTAGTATGTTCAGCACTAGTCTTCTCGTATTTAGTACTATTCAGTCTTCCTTTTGTTTTTGCAAAGACAGGATCCTTTATATCTTTTTGTAATAAAGAATATTCTGCATTCAACTGTTCAACAAAAGATACCAAAATGCTATTTATTTTGACATAGCTTATTCTGTTAGAGATTGCTTCAATATCTTTAAGCAATTCTGCAGTACTTTTACTAGAAGTAGAAATTTGTTCAACTGACATATCACAGGTATTGTGATTAATAGTAGATAACAATTCAACTGAAAGTTTATTATTACAATTAGTAGAAAAAAAGAACTCAGTCATATATCTAGTAGAGTTATATTCATCAAATTGTAATTTATTAGTATTGAATCCTGCTAGTAAGATAATCTAACAGATACCAATATAATCGATACTTATAACCTCTTTATTAACAATATAAATAGATATAATATGATGGTATAGGAATAAAAATTATGTACTATAGTTACAGCAACAAATATATCTACTATCAGTTCAATATATAGTATATTTTCAATCTTTGTCATGATAAACCTGGAATAAATTAGCCTTTTGTCTTTCAACATGATAAGATATGGTCTTGTTATATTGTTCTTATAATAAGGATATACAAAATTAGACACAACTATTGAAACATCCTTTAGGAATTCAGAGCATTGTTGATATATGCTTTTACGCAGACAATATTGTTGATATTGAGAATATTGCAATTGGTGGTGAGATAATTTGTCAAGCATATTTATTAATTCTAGTAAAAGTGCTATATAATCTAATAGATGCTTTAAATATGTATTACTTGCTTCTGACTATTGTGTTGTTTATACTCCATAGTTAATATTCTTATTTGTATAACAACACACCCACATTTTGATCAAGGGTTTTCATAGCTCCATCATATAACTATTAATTTCTGGATATTCTACTAACAAACGATTCTATAAAATATCAAATTGATTTTTATTATTTTCAAACATTACTATTTTGAAATTTTTAATAAATATGATAAATCTATCTTTAAGTTTATTACTCAAATTCTTAATAAGATTTTGTTTAACATGCCAAATATATAGTTGATGTTTAATATATGGCATCTTAGTTCGAACTGCTGCAATAAGTGCATGATCTCTATCAGTTAAAAGTGTTTTAATATTTTGAAAGTTGAATCACCAATTAACTGCTTTAACTGATAAAATATTTAACAAAAGCTTGATGTAGTTTCATTAGCTAGAAGTTCACTTGCAAGGAGAAATATAATATCCATCATATCAATACCATTGATAAGTAAAAGTAGTATTCCAAAATGATTCATTTTGTATATACTATCTATTAATAAAATATCAAGATAATATTTAAATTTTGCAACTGCAGACTATATAGTAAAAAATAAGCAATAAAGTTTGCTATTATTAATTGAATAAGTGAATAGATATTCATTGTTATTGCTTAAATTATTTAACAGTTCTGCAGTTTGTGACAATTCTTTGATGTAATCACGAGAATGATGATTCAATATATTGTATATATCCTTATTATGAATGTATCTACTATATTTCTTAGTTAATATACTGATAATTGTTAAAACTAGAACATTACCATTATAAAGTATTCATATATACATATTTTCACTATCACTTAGCTTACGATAACTAGGATCAAATACAACTGATGCAGCATCCATAGGATGGTTGTGTTCAAAATTAACAGATTTTATATAATATATAACTTTGTTTCAGCAAACTACTACTTTCTATAAACAACCTATTGCAACACTCTTTGTTGATTATAATCTAATATTTTTGTTATTAGAAGCTTCAGTATGACAATAAACAAATTCTTTTTTGGTAAGAAAGTCTAGAATTCTTTCAGTACGATCTAGTCTTGTTGCGAAGCTATACTTTATTGCATAGGCCTTAATGTGTTGCTCAATATCATACTATTCGGTAAAAATTTGCCCAACTATTATTATAGATAAATTATTATTAATTAAAGTTATTTCATGTAATATATAGCTATCATTAAAGTCTTCATTATTGCTAAGATCTCTATCAAGAATATTATTAAAATCTTTGTTAAGTGCTTAGTTATTATCATTAAAATTATTGTCAGCATCAAAAGAATCAAAGATTATATCAGAATTATTTTCAAGATTAATGTTCAAAACAGTATTATTTAAAGTAAGCGATCATTTGAAATTTGTTTTTAAAAATATACAGTGCAAGAAAGAGTTATATGTTTAAAAGTTTAATCAGTTTATTTTATATAATTTTGTAAATAATAATATATGATTAATAATATTGATAGTTTAATTTAAAAGTATATTACTATAGTCTTAAATTTACTACTCTAACCTCTAAATACCTCTAAACTAACTAATCAAAGATCAGTAATATATAGTAAACTTTGAGTTTAAACTAGTAAATACAAGTCTTTTTTTTATATATTATATAATTTATATTACAAAACTATCGATATTTATTTATATTTAAGAACAAACCAAAAAATCGCTTACTATTAGAACATAATAATTTATAGTAAATATATAGATTAATATCATTTATTAATATCTATAAAATTTATATTGATTGATATAGCAATCAATATATAATACGATACAGAAATTTAAAAACATCAACACCTTTATATAAAAGTACTATAATGTATAAACTGGCTACATATTGAAAATCAATTTTTTAAATTGTCTATCTATTTTAATAACAAGCTTTTTGTGCCAAAAATAGTATGCTCTTAATACATATGTATGTACGTAGCTATTTTATACATAGTGTTGAAGCTTCAATGTGTTTTCTGTTAAAGTGATTGTAGTTTTTAGATTTCTTGTACCTATAATTGCAGCATTCAATTATTGTTATATTAGTGAAAAGTCATATAAATAATTGGCGAAGGTAATATATAATTATATATATTGTAATTATAGTGCAAACCATATCAATAACAGATTATTATGTTATGCTAATCATGTGATATGTATTACCAATCTGAGTAGTGATCATGTGACTAAACAGCAAAATGGTTTCTACCAAATTACAAGCTACAATAGCTTGTTGTCACATATGAGTGAAAATAACTCAGGTAAAAATAGAATTTCTCTAATTTTAATAGTAATTTTAGAATTTTTATATAAATATTTAATATAACAAATTAAAATAAAATTAGATTAAAATGATTTTTTTTTAATTTTTAAAAAAATTTAAAATTTTTTAAAGGATATTTTTTGAGGTTTTTAGTATTAGAAGTCAGATTTAGAGTTAGGATTATTAATAAAAGAGTATATATGGGTTTGGATATTCTATAGAATAGGTGGGCAAATTTTGCAACTCTGATATTAAAAATTAATGATTACTAATCATTAGTGAAGCTTATTTCTTATATTGCTCACCTATTTTATAGAATATTCATAGGTTTTATAAGCTTTAAGAGTGAGTAAGAGAGGTTTCCAATTTTATTTTAATCTGATTTTATTTTAATCTGTAAAATTTAATTTTAAATAACTTTAATAAACTGGTCTGTTTTGAATAATTTAATTACTAAAATGTTTATCTCAATAAGATGATTCTAACAAGTTTAAAATTATTAAATTTTGATTACAAGATTCTAAAATCATTAATGATTAATATTATTAACCAATTATATTTATAATTGGTTTTTATATATAAAACTAATTGTAGATATAATTAATTAATAATACTAATCATTAATAATCTCAAGATTCTGTAATTAGAATTTAATAATTTTAAACTTATTAAAATTGTCTTATTGAAATAATATTTTGGTAGTTAAATTATTTAAAACGGACTAGTTTATTAAAAGTTATTTAATATTAAAATATTTATATAGTAATTCTAAAATTACTATAGTTAGAACAATCTCTATAAATACAATACCTCTTTAAATATATATTTTTTGTCTTAGCTATATAAAATCATTAATACTAAATACATGTTCTATATTCTGTAAATACATATTCAATCAAAAGATTTTCTATATTATACTAACTTTTCTAAATACATATAGTTAATTAGAAGTTAGTATTTAAGTTTATTATACAAGTCTGCAATTCAAATATTAAAAGTTATAATTTGATTAGCTTTCTTTAAATACAAATCTTATATTTTAGGCTAGTTTATATATATTGTATTTATGAAGATTTGATTGTACAAAATTTAAATTATTTTAGAATCTTGTGATTAGATTTTAATAATTTTGGCTTATTAGAATTGTTTTATTAAGCTAAATATTTTGGTAGTTAAATTATCTAAAATGAATTAGTAAATCAAAATTATTACTAATTCTACAAATCAGCCTATATGTTTTTTACTTAAACTGTCTTGTCTTTTTTTCACTTTAGCTATCTTGCTAGGTTTCTTTATTATGATCTAAAATACTAAGTAAAGCATAAGACAACTACTAATATCTAAATCTGAATCCTATAGTTATTTTAACATATTAACTATATGAGAGCACTTACAAGTGATTAGCTGTACTAAGCAGACATATACATTTGAATATATCCTGATAAGTTTCTAATAAAAAACTCTATCTATCTCAGAAAAGTACTGTTAGACTACCACTCTACAATAGAGCATTACCAATCTGATGATATCTTCTCATAGAGAAGTAAAAAAATCAAAAAAATATTAATACTAATACTAATATTAAAAGAAGAGTAAAAAAGAACAAAAACTAATACTAAAAACAAAAACAGAGATAAAAAAGATAGAAGAAAAAAAATACTAACAGATCACAATTATAAGCCTGTATCGAGCTTTAAAAAATTATATATTATCTCTTAAATTATAATACAGGCAAATTTGCCTGCATTCATTTTTTTAAACTCTAATTTTTTAATAAAATTTTAAATATTAATTTTAACAATATACTTTTTAAGTAAAATATATTTTTAAAGATCTACTTTATTAACTTTGTTAAGAA